TGTACCCTATTTTTTGGCCCCGGGCGTACAGAAAACTTGGTAGCCGTTCGGCGATTTGAATTTGGTGGAAGTAGGTGAGTGGCTCCACTTGCCACTATACCCAGCGCACTTCTAGTAGTTGGGAGAATTTTCGCTGAATAAGACCCCTTACTCTCAGATTTCCTCCTCTGCTACGACCTCCCGACCACCACTTCCCATGCTACCTAACCCTTAACCTTTCCCAGCTTCCTATCACCACGAAGTCAACAACCGGGAAAATTTTAAAATTTCCTTGGGACCAAATACGACCCCTCCCCCTCTCAAAGCGACGAGCAAATAATACTCTCCCTTGTCCCACGCACCCCACCCCGAATAGGAATCTCCCATTATGGTAGCGCGGGCAACAGGAGAAATGAGTGATGGAAAATTTTCCAGCCCAAATATTGTATGAACCCCATCTCTCCAGCGATTAAATACAACCCCTGCCCTCACCCAACCACAGTGGATTGAACTGATCGCGGTTCCCTCATACACGAACTTTTATCCATGTTTTCGGCTAATCTCACTCAGAGGAGGAGAAGGTCCAATCCAAAAAATTTAGCCCTAAATTGGGATTCGCCATTCATTCTGCTTCCATTCGTACCGAAGCAGAATTGAAAGCCGCCTTTGTAAGGGCAAGCCTGCAAAGTCAGCGCTCTCATGATCCCGTAAGAGTTCACTGCTGCTTGATCAACCACGCTGAGGTGACATCGGCAGGATTCGATCCACTGGCGCCACCTGCTGCTGAATCATCATCTCTCCTTCAGATCTTACCGTAGGAAGAATTTCGGAAATTTCCAGAAAAAAAGTGCAGGGACAAAGTCCATGACGTGTTCCCACGAATCAACTGACGAGAGGAATTTGCCTCGCTGATATGTGGATGAGATTAGAAAGTGCGACACGTGCCGTTTGAATTCCAGTGAAACATCACTGATAATGAGATATTTTTATCACAGCCGATCAATAGATTGATTTATAGGACTCGATCGATATCATATGGTGGTCGAATGTGGTATGTTTACCAGTGATCGCTGTGATTGGATTAGCATGTAATCTTCTGAATATCGCCATATTGACGAATAATAAAGGAGCACGAAGGATACCCAGTTGGTAAGTGAGACTACTGATGTTAATGTGAATCGGTCGGAAGTTACTGGTTATGCTGGATGTACAGTCATGATCCCTGCAAGTGATAGGGCGTGTGACGCGGCGCGTAATGAATCACGGTCAGGACGTTCTTGTTCCACCATGATGCCGACAAATGATCTGAGCCCGCTACAACTGGTGGGAAATCTGCCTTGGCTGCGCTCCAGGCCTCTCTGCCGTCCTACTCCCTCGTTTAGCAGGGATCATGACTGTGCAGGAGCAGCTGCATTTCCCTTTTCTACGCGCTCCTCGTCCTAAGTATGAGATGTGACGAGAGCTCCCGGCGAATAATAGCGAATGATTACTTCCCAATTTGGGTGACTTTTCGACATTGCATCATATAGGAACCACACATAGCAGCTTTCGCTGCAGACCGTGGGGCGCGTCGGCGGGGAGGGGGAAGTTGGAGTTGGCTCGGCGCCAGGCCGTTCCCTACTAACTGTTGTCACCAGCCCGCTTGAGCGGTTGGTGGAAAACGGGCTGGCGCCGCGCCAATCACAGCCCTTTTGACACGCCCCAGCGTCTGCAGCTGAACCGAATGTAAACCTTTCATAACTTACGGCAGTACAGATTGCTCTTGACTTGCAAGATCTACCACTTTTGGCACTTACAATTTTGATCTCGTAGATGGGAAGGAGGGAGGAGGAGGACAATTGAGAACAGCTATGCGGCGACGCTGCAATAGCTTTGCAACGTCATATCTATTTGTCTGTTCCTCTCATCGAACTCCAATAACTTGTAAAGGTCATTCGGATGCTTCAAAAATGAGTGGTAAGACAAGGTGGGATAGAAAGACCCGGCCTAACGTGGCGTAGTCGTGCCTAAGATGCTCCTCTTAACTGCCTTTGCCGGCGAAAACTGGGCGAGTAGATTAGACGGATCTTGGAGACCGCAGAGTAATCCCGCAAGCGTCCAGACTCGCGACCGGCAGCCTTCGTCGCGGTTCGACCATCGATGCAGTCAAAAGCATGCGCATGATTCGACCCAACGGCGCGCCGAAGCCTGCCGCCCGAATCTGAACCCTGAGCTACTTGCCTGATACCGGAACAGGCCTTACCCTAAATCCATATCATAAGACGGTCCATAGATAAGGCGCGTGTGCTAGTTGTTGTGAAATAAACTTTTAAAAATGTTTATTTAAAATCATTTTTTACCGGTAAATAACACCGCTCTTATCTATGGAATTTTACTGATCGAATGGGCTCTTCAAGTTCTATCCAGAAATCCAGATTCCGGCATTCTAGAAGATTCCCAGAAATCTCCGATTACAATCGCTATTTTTCTATATGAATTTTTTATTAATGGCGGTTGAGTTGAGGGGCGGAGCTTCTTCTAAACTTCTTCTCCAATTTTTATTTATCCATCCATCAAGTTAGAGGGTGACTGCTTTCAATTTCAATTTCATTCCAATTCATTTTTCACCGGTAAATCAAACCGCTCTTATCTATGGGATTTTAGGGTAATTGTTGTCAAATTGACCGAGTGAATGTTAATTAAACGCCATAATCCGAATTTGGTGCAAACGGAAAAAAGCGGCAGCCGTTTGTTGTGACCAAGGAAGGATTAATCAGGCTTTTTCAGGACTCTACTATTGGCGTTGGCCATATGCGATTGTCTATTTCTGGTTTTCGCCACACTTGACGTTTTACCATCGAGCGATCCATCGTTGGCGTTTTCGCCACATTTCAACTATATCTACATGCATATCTGTCTGTATATTCGCACGCTGGCTTCAACATTCTACAAGAGTAGCGTTCTGTGAGTGCCTCAAAGTATAGAGAACAATTTTAGGTCCTCTTCATCCTAAGAAGAAAATTAGGCGCAAGCAGGATTATGGTGACGAAGGGGTAGGTGGGAGGTGGGGGGGGGGAGTGGTGATGGGTGCATCTCGAAGATTCCTCCTCTAAAAAAGGGACAATCGGGAAGCATACACCCTTTTGTTGCGCTCAAGAATCGCTACAAGTTTCCTTTGGCTCTTGCCCTGGGCTCAGGTGGAACTCGCTGTCTCCACTAGCAATCCCAGTTTTGCACCGGACCGCATTCGTTCTCCCTCGCCCCTCCCCCTCTCCCGTCAGGAATGCCTGTTCCAGAAATTATTTTTTTACGTTTTGGCGTAGAATAAGGTCTTGTAATTCAATAAGGAAGATTGTTAGTGTTCAATTGACAAACTATTTTTCAAGAATTGTCGTCGCTTTCAACGTGGAACGATACATCTGCGTGCTTCACCCGTTTAGCTGTCATCGTATTTGTACCGGAAGGGCGTCACGCTTTGCTATTGCCGCTTGGTAAGTACTGACTTGTTA